TGGGCGATGGAGTGAGACTCCAACTCAAAAAAAAAAAAAAAAAATTACACAGTCATTGTAGAAAAGTCAGAAAATACAGATAAGCAATACAAGCGATTTAAATTAGTCGTAATTTTGCCACCTGGTTATAAACACTACCAGATTTTTTCCACACATATAAACTCATTTTTTCAAAGTGGGCTCATGCTGCACTGATTCTTTTATAATTTGCTTTTCTCACTCAACAGTGTGTTGGGAACATCTTTCCACATCAATAAATATTTATCAACATTTTAACAGCTGTGTGGTTTTCTGCTATCTGCATTTCTGTAACCAAGTCCTAGCAGTGTTGGACAGTATGTTCTTTGTTCTTTCTCTTTGCTTTTTTTTTTTTTTTTGAGACAGTGTCTCACTCTGTCGCCCAGGCTGGAGAGCAGTGGCACGGTCATAGCTCACTGCAGCCTCCTGAGTAGCTGGGACTACAGGCGTGTGTCACTGCACCCAGGTAACTTAAAAACAATTTTTTTGAGAGATGGGATCTTGTTATATTGCCCAGGCGGGTCTTGAACTCCTGGCCTTAAGTGACCCTCCTACCTGCCTCTCACAGTGCCAGGATTACAGGCAGGCATAAGCCTCTGCCCCGGCCTCTTGCTGTTCTTTTTTTCTTTTTTTTTTTTCAGTCAGAGTCTCACTCTGTCACCCAGGCTGGAGTGCAGTGGCATGCTCACGGCCACCGCAGCCTTGACCTGCTGGGCTCAGGTGATCCTTCCACCTCAGCCTTCCAAGTAGCTGGAAACACAGGCATGCACCACCAAGCCCAGCTAATTTTTCGATTGATTGTAGAGACGAGTTCTCGCCAAGTTGCTCGGGCTGGTCTTGAACCCCTGAGCCCAGGTAATCCTCTCGCTGCCGCCTCCCAAAGGACTGGGATGACAGGCGTGAACCACTGTGCCTGGCCTCTCTCTGTTCTAAACACTCTGATTCACACCTGCCCAGGCAGACACGTGTCAGCAGGACGGGCAGGCCCTTGGTCCTCCCTGCCTCCACTGGACCCCATCCTCCTAGCCTGGCTCAGGCCCCATCCCCTGAGATGCCTACCCTCCTGTTTTCCCAACCGGAAGGACCCAACATCCAAAACCTCAGTGCAAGCCCTGGACTGACTCCTGGACTCCACGGCGGGGTGCCGCTGGCTGTGGGGAGAGGAGCCCAGACGCCCTGCCAGGAACCTGCAGCCAAGCCCTGCCTCACCTCAAACCCAGCTGGGGACAGGATGACTCCCTGGGCCCCTTGCCTGCGTCAGAATCTGCCAGATGACCTTCTGCCTACAGGGCAAAGCCCGAGGGCCTCACGGGACCCCACATCTGGTTTCAGCCCTCGCACGGGGTGCCTGGTGTTTGCCGAGTCCACCAGCCTCTGATTCAGGTGGCGGTTTTACCACTTGACCGCTACCCACTGGCGCTGCTTGTGCCCTTGCCCCTTGCCGGGCACAGCGTGGGATCGGCAGTCTGGGTGGGGTGAAGGGAACACAGTCTCCCAGGCTGACCATTGGTGACCATGAGTGCGTCCGTCCCATGGCCGTCCCTGAGGAAGAGAGCTGAGCCTGGTGGCCACTAGATGGCAGTGCTCGGCTGCCCGGCTCCGGCGGCCTCCAGCCACAGCAGATTAGAGGCGGAGAGAAAGCCCTCCTTAGCTGCGGGCGGGTTTTCTAAAACCCAGATCTGTGTCACCCACAGGTGTCACCGCCTGTATCCCCTAGATGGGCCTCAGACTGTCCTCGGTGCCCTCTGGGAGAGAGAGCTGGGCCTTGGCCGCTGGAGTTGCAAAGTCTTGGACGACTTTGGGAAGCTTCTGAGTCTCCATTTCCACATCTGTAAAATGGAGGTTCACCGTTCCATGCCCAAGGTGGTTGTGAGGATAAATCAGCAAAAGTTGGGTGCGGCCAGCACCTGACACATCATCGTCTTCATTTACTAACATGTGCCAGGCTCTTGGCCTCTCGACAGGGTAGAGAATCTGTGGTGAGGTTGGCCTGGAGGGGCGGAGGCTGGGTCTTTGTGGGGGGCCGCTATGTCCTGTGGACTCCATTGGGAGTATGCGGGTACTCCCTCCAGGGCAGTCACCTGGCAGCATGGACAGGGCGGAGGGGTAGCAGCCAGTGAAGAGAAGGTGGGAGCCGGACCCATTTACCCCCAGACCGCTAGCTGTTGGTGGTTTCAGGCCTCCCAGGGACAACTGCCAGTTATCTTTGCCCCTGGAGACTCAGAGTAGGGTTTTTTTTTTGAGACATTCTGTCACTCGGGCTGGGGTACAGTGACACAATCATAGCTCACTGCAGCCTTGAACTTCCAGGCTCAGGTGATCCTCCTGCCTCAGCCTCCTGAGTAACTGGGAGTACAGGTGCATGCCACCACACACAACTAAGGTTTAAGGTGTGTTTTTTTTTGGTTTTTTTTTTTGAGTCAGAGTCTCACTCTGCCACCCAGACTGGAGTGCAATGGCATGCTCACAGCTACTGCAGCCTCAACTTGCTGGGCTCGGGCGATCCTTCCTCCTCAGCCTTCCAAG